CCTCCTTCTTCGTGCTTTCTCCTGGTGCGAAGGTGGAGCTTTTGGGCACACCGTGTCCAAAGCTAAGAGACCAAGTGGGACACCTTGGGACGGTCAGTTTGAGCAGGAATGGTTCTAAAGCTGCTGTTTGCCTTTTTAGCCCATTGCAATGAAGTGGAAGTGGATGCTTACAACTGGACTGTATAGATGTGAACTTGGCAGATGGGGCAGGTTGTAACCTCCCAATGTTTGTGTCCTACCAGGGGGACCTGGGAACCGGACCTTGTTCCTCATTCCACCTCCCCGGTTTGATGCCTAGAGCCAACATCAGTCCCAAGCCGCCACTTCAAGGGTGGCCTTTTGCTGCTTGACCCGGCACACCAACAAAACCCTTGACACCATGTGGAATAGCCACAACTATATCATATTATAGGCCTCACATCACCTATATATATATATATAGACCTCACTACAACCACAACAAAACCTTGTGACCACAACCTATATGTGACAAGGAGGATTCGGGATGATTCGGAGGATCTGTTCATTTTCATGCTTATCTATGAAGATGGATGGTTTCTCGACAGAGTCATGCAGATCCTTTATGATATTCATGCCGGTGGATCATCGTGCCGTCGCGCCATGTGTGTGGCATGTTTTCTCGGTTTTGCTGCGCGTGTGTGGCGGTGGTGGGGCCATACATGTGCCTATAGGGCCTGTCGTCGGATGCAGATCGGCCCCCCCACGCCCCACTCTTCGACTCACTCTGGATCTTCCGGAGGCTTTCGATTTAGAAAGCATTTCTTATTTGGTTGCTCCCCCATGCTGTAGCAATTCCAAATTCAGAAAGGCCGAGAGCTTCTTCAGAAACTGGTTGCACCGTTCTGGTTTTGGTTAAAATTATGCTGTAAGCATTGTCGTTCTCAAGAAACGTGTGCCTTCCGGAGACGATCCTCCGTCAATTACGCGAACATTTGGCAGAACAACGGTTTTGCACAGAAGCGCGGACCTGAAAGAGTTTCATCATATGATTACAGTTCAATCGAAAATCAATTGATTATCTTTCAATTATAATGTATAAATATATATATATAAAAACCTCAGAAGCTTTCCTGACTAGTAACTCACTTGTTGTGAAGTTGATTCTTCATACGTGGGGTAACCCGTGTAGTAACAATACAGATCGCAGTTAGAATGCGCACGCTCAGCGTGGTTTGCACACGTTAGTTTGCCACCATCCGCCTAAGGGCTGACTTGTCCTTCTTCCGCGAAGCGCGCTTGGGAACCTACCGGGCGGAGGCGCCAGATGCGGAAGGGCTTCTGCCGTTTTCTGCCAGATCCCGGTGGTCTCAGCTGATGACAGGATCCTGCCATCACAGCTGCCATGAGTTCTGAGGAAGTCTTCACAAAGACCCATAATTACATACATGGATGCCTATATTTACTGCATACTATTGTCCTTCTCCGTGCGGAAGATCTAGCATGTTTGTTAGATGAGATGCGATTATATTGTTTCTAACAAACATGACTTGCTATCATGAGGTCGATTATCCTTCTCATTATGTTAACATGTTGTTTGCTAACATGATGTTTGTTAGATCTCTCCTTGCTCAAGCGCCACAAAACTGATAACCCCCGTCGGACGGACCTGGCACTCCGAGCCGAAGAGGCGGACGATGGCGGTTCGGCGACCCTCCCTCCACAGGCGGACGGGGGGTTCACGGTGGAATCAGCCGCGCCGGAACAAGTGGTTCTATTGATTCTATGATGTTCCGTTGGTGAGTCAATGAACGGATCGAAAGTGGTTCGACGCATCGTCGGCCTACAAACATTGCAACAGATCGCAAGATCTGTGAGATTCACTTTCAATCTCACTGGCTTCAACTCTTGAGCCATTTTCAACAAAACACACCGACTCACTGCGCCTCACTCCATCGGGTCGAACGGATCGGATCGGTCTTGGTCCCGGAACGCCCAGGCGGCCGTGGCCATGAACCGCATTGCCACCGAAGGCGATGCAGCAGTGAAGCTCAGAGCATGTTTGCGTATAGAGGGGATACCTTGGTAGCTCCCTTGGTAGCTCATACAGCTAATTATAGCTAATTAAGATCTTTGGGATCTATATGCCTTCGATTTCACATTCCTGTCCGTGAAGCGGGTGCCCTTCTCAGTTCCAGCCGGCGCGAGGTGTGGTATTTGGCAACCAGCAGCGACGCTTTTAGAGCAAAGTCACCAAATTCACCAACCATCCATCTCCTCAAAGAAAAAACACATGATAGGAAACCAAATTCTTCACCAACCATTCCCCCCAACAAAAAACACCGATCGAAAAGCAAACTCCTCTTAGGCGCCTGGTCCCGTCGAACCGACTCACAGGATTCGGCCCGGCCGTCGTCATGAAGCGTCTTCCCAGGTGGCGCCCTCCTTTGGCGAGCGGATCTCCTTCGCGGTGGCGCTGGACGACGTGGGTTGGGGACCCAGGCGACGTGAAGCGGGAGAAGCCCCGCCCGGCGACGTGCGTCCGATGGGAAAACTCAAGGTAGCAAATGGTAGCAACTTCCATCCACTTCCTTGGGCAACTTCCCTGGGAGGGACAAGATTGCGTGAAACATTCAAGGCAAACAAGGCCAGCATGAGCACGGTGTGGAACAAGGTCAGCGTGTGTTGGAACTTGGACACATCTCAACAAAACACCGTAGTTGTGCGCCTTGTGTGCTTGGAGATGTGACGTTGATCTAGCGGTTCTGGAAAGGCGTTGTGTGCTGTGGAATGGTTTCTTCATGTTTCTTCAATTATATTGTCCTCTGAGGTGGTCATATAACGGTTAATATGCTTCAAGGTGCCGGGTCTTCTATGTGACGTGAAGTCTTTGCACCTTTGGGTTCATCAAGATCAAGAGATCTCAAGCTACATTTTCAAGAATCACACCGAGTAGAGATGTTCCGAGCATTTCCGACGATGATTCCTGAACATCTCCAAGATGGTCTCTTACTTTCCCGAGCTTGACTCCTTCCAACATCTTCGATTCCGAGAAGGCGAGCCAACAGCCCAGGTGCACGCCTCGTGGACCGCTCGGTGTTCCCGGCACAGCTGGCAGAGGCCCGGCTTTGGCAGGTCGGTTGCATGGGCGGCGGCTTGGTCACAACTCAACTGTTGTGCTTCAATCCTTTTGATGGAGCCGATGTGTCGAACATGATTGGCCCATGTCCCACATCATCTCGGCTACTCCACGGAGAAGCCTGTCCTCGACTCTTCAGAAGACATGTGATCACATGTTGGCACAATGTGCTGTGCATTTGGGCTATATATGTTGGCGTTTGGACCATCCAAAAGGCGTGGGTCCAAGAACTAGGGGCGCTGAGATCGAGTGTGTTTCTTTTTTTTTTAAACTGGTTTGGATAACATGGATAACCATGCATGGCACATCCCTTCACTCATTCGCATTTCCAAACTTTTCTTTGAACAGTCATGTTGAATGGTGTAATGCTAGAAAAAAACCAAGTCATGTCAGAAGCTGATGAGCAAGACAAAGGTGGCCATGTCCGCTGAATTTGGCTCCGTGGAAAAAGAAGCTGACAGTTCACAAAAATATTGCGGACAACCATTAGCAGAATTATGCGAAATTATGTTCAGAATTTGGGAACAAAGTAGATCTTGTACGGTGATTTTCGGGTCATGTTAACATCACCGTGAGACTTGAGAAAGTTGACATCACCGTGAGACTCAAACGACTTAGGGGTACTTAGACTTTGACTCCGCTATCTACGCGACCCCCCACTGCTACGCGTGAATTCTGGGCATTCAATTGACCACCCAGTGCAAAGTGGGGTTGGGGCTCCGTTTAGCGCACAGGCTGCTAAACGCAAACTGTTTGGTACGCGACCCTTATATAGTCAAAGCAGAACTTGTCAATGAGGCAGGCGCAGGAAAGAAGGTCATTGTGACAGACTCTAACCACCATCGTGCAACTATAGCATGTGGGGCACCCCGTATCATAGGTTTCCAGGTTTCCAACGATGAGAGTGGTGCTGTAAACAATGTTGTCACAAGGAAACGGCTAGCCGCTAGCTGCAAACAAGCTATGCAAAACATGCACCGTTTGCACAGCACCCGCTTACGGCCATACGAAGGGCTCGCAGTTGGCCTTGGTCAGGTGGCACGACGGCTGCGCTTCACAGCAAATTTGGAAGACAACTAGCCGCAGGTTGATCATGATGCGTTCGAACGCTAGCAGCTCGAATGCTGCTGAATGTTTTACTGTAAAACATCTGCAACCCTGTGTGTCTGCAAGCCTCCACCCACAGCAAGTCAGCGCATGTTTCTGACAAACAGCGCGAGCATGCGCAAGGCAAGTCTACGTATCTTTTTTCCCATCACTTGCCAAGTCTCCATGTCCAAGTCTCCCAAAAGTTCACCTCAAGAGTGGCGTGTTCATTCTGGGCTGCTTGGATGCAAGCAACTCTCCATGAGATGCCAATTGGAGGCTACAGCCAAGCGCGCTCTGTCTCTCTCTCTCTCTGTCTCTGAGTCTCACCGCAACATGGAAAGCCTCCCAGTGGGAAAGCAAAATGACCTCATTTGCTTCCCCGCCTCCTGTGAGTAAAGTGCCTTTTCAGAGACATATATGGAGACTATTCCTGCGCGATTGGGTTTGGCCACACCGCTGCGACACAGTGAGTACAGAGTGCAAGGATGGAGCCAGGAACCTTGCACAGATGTGAAACACTATGAAACAGTGCTTTAAAAAGCAGTTCTCGTCAGCCCTCTTTTCTCATGGGTTGGGGGCATGTCAAGCCAAGCTAAGAGGATGAGACATGTAACGAAGAAGATGGTTCCCGGATGCTCCCGGCAAGACATGGCACGAAAGGTTAGCCTGATATCATCCGATATCCCGTCTTGAAAACAAGGGTACCTAATGACACGATGTTTGGTGTATTAGATGATCCGAATCCGAATCCGATGTTTTAAAGCATTTGGTGATCTTTTGTCGTACGAACCTGTTCCTGTAAGTTCAACATCCACTGATTCCTCACTCGCGTGGCTCCACTGGTTCCACCCAAACACCTCCCTTCTGGAGAGTGCAATGGTGCATGCGGTTCCCGCGGTCACGTGACGCCGTGACGCTCGCTGGAGGACGGGTCCTTGGGGGGGGGGAGACGTGATCATCCGCCATTTTTGTTGGGATTTCCCCTAATTACCGGATCACACACCAAGGGGGGGGGCAACAGTTGACCAACTGAACCATGATATCGAAGCGGTTTGAAGCCTGTATGTGACGCCCTGAAATTCTTGGACATATTGCCAACAGATATGAAGTACAAGCCTGGAGCAAATAAACTGGATTCTCGGATTCTTGGATTCCGATGGCTTCTAAATTGGCTATACCGAAAACGCGCGCTGCGAAGCCGCCTGCGCGCGAAAACGCATGCGGCTCGGCATCTCTGGGCATCTCGGTGCAGGGTCGAATGCCATTCATCACTCCAACATGCTTCACCACACCGCGCGCCACTTGCGGAAGTGGTGTCTGGAGAGATTGTTGGAAGTAGTTCAAGGTCGGAAACCAGATCCAAACAAGACCTTGACAACTGGAGGCCCTGACCGTAAGGACCCAGTGTACCAATTGATTCATTGATATGTATTATTTAGGATTACTTAGGTGTGCTAGTAGAATAGGGAGGACCCTCCCAACCATTCGATATTAGTCTAATTCCCGGGCCCACTGTTGGAAGTGTTTTTTCTTTCTTGGGTAGACTTCACCTCACCGAAAGGCCTGAGGGTGGGGGACTTACACCCCCGAGCGCTCCAAGACCAGGTGCTCCACCGCGATGAACCCTGCTGCCTGGCATGGCCAACGACCAAGTCAGAGACATGGCGGCAGGATGCGGAAGTTGAAGAAGATCGCACAGCCACATGCCATATGCCAATAGTATTGAGATACGTGGCTGTCTGGTGCTGGATCCATGTTTGAGGTATGATCAGGGACACCTAGCTTAGGAGATGCCCAATCAGAGGCAGCGAAAGAAGAACTTTGTCGATTTAAGGTTCTATTCCTGTGCTAGGAGACTGGCCCATCATGGGCCTACACCATCCAACCGGCTTCCAAGGATGCCGATGCCAGTGAGGGTGTCTCACTTTCCTCAGGCTTGAAGAGTGGACTGTGAGGCATGTGAGGCATGTGTGAAGCAGATGAAAGTTCTGGAACCATGCATCTCCTTGATGTACACATGTACCATCATGTACCAGATGACGAGTGGATTCAAAGACCAGATTGAATATGTACCTATATGTACCCTGTGATTAAACATGATGAGCCCCACTGCAGCTCAGATTCCAGATCGTTTGCATTGGGGTGACCGGCTAGATTTCCGGCTAGCAAAGCGATGTGCGACCGGCTGGACCGAGAAACCCTCGAGCTTCTGGTGACGGCCAGGTACCGCAGTCGACTTCGGCTGTCACACACTACCGTGTTGTGAGACCTGCTGCTTGCTCCTTGGTGTAGATCAACACTAGTGTTCGATCGAAGGTCGTCATTGGTGTGGCTTGTTCTCAGAATGCCCTCCTCAAAGACGAGCAACAGAATGGGCACGTGGGGTCCACCTTGGGCCAGGAAATGTTGAACATTATTTCAAAACAGCGCAGGGACCAGAATGGACAGCTGCCACCACCCCATCCATGGGGGTGTTGCGCGCAAGCGCGCGCACGGTGCCAAACCTCGCCGGGTGGTCACATCAGATGGTCACAGCTCAGTCGTGTTTCGTGCAAGACCGAGACCCGGTGCGAACGGCGGCTCCAGCGCATGCCTCGCCGCCCACGCGGCTCTGGCGCATGCTGCGCGTCGGGGCTGCAGCAGTGCAGGTCATGGAGGAGCCGTCGATGTGGCTGGACAGAGGATTGGTGGCCGGGCATGTGTTTCTGAAGATCAGCTGCTCCTGGTTTCACATTGTTCATTAGACCTGGTAGTTTTCATCGCCTCAGGGAGTTGGAGCCCCAGCGCAGATCCTACATGATCTTACAGATCGTGGAGCAAGGAAAGCCTCACTTCCGCAGATCCAGCAACTTTGAAACTTTCACCTATGTATCACCTAGTCTGGCAGTGAAGGGGAATCTAGGTCAAGTAAGCTTGCATCGGCATTCAGCATCACCCAGTAAGAGGTTTTGCCCTTTGAAAAAAGGATGCCCAAACACAACTTCAGAAGGCTGTCCTATTGAAACCACTTCTCTGAATGGTGCTGACTGGTCCCTGCAGCGGTTGGCCTCGCTCCAACCACTGCCGATCCGTGTGGATCCGAGGAGATCCGAGGCACCGTGGTCACGAGTGAACAGCCCAAACCTCACAGGTGTACCTTCATGGTAGCCTCACAGATGAATGAACACTCCAACCCCCACCCTTCCTTGGCATCCTGAAACCACCCCGTAGCTTCCACCATCTCCTTTCCCAAGGCAATCCAAGCGCTTGCCTTGGGTGGTGCAGCAGCCAGGTGCGAAGGGCCTGCCGCCTGCCACGATCGGATCCAGGATCTGTGTCCATGTGAGTTCTCCAGTTCAGTAGAAGCCAACTGGAGTCTCAAACAATGGTTTTGTGGTGTTTTCTTGGTGCTGGTGAGGTTTCTGTGACATGGATGGAGTCGGACGGACAGGGATCCTTCCTCTCAAGGCAGCTGAATTTCCCAAATCCATGCATCCTATGTGGGTTCGAGATGCTAAGCCGGGGGCTACCGCCTGACCTTTTTTGAAGTGCCTGTTCTGGGTGTCCTTCTTTAGATGTTTTCTTGGGAGCTCTTAGAAACAGCACCCAAACAGGAGTTCAGCACGCTTTAGCCGCTGCGTTTGGGCGTCGCGCGCGCGCTTGCCTGTCAATACCCCCCACACGTTCATCGCGCCAGGTCAAGTGAATTGAACTGATACAGACTCCCTATCCTTAAGAGGTCAAGGATGGCAGGCATGGTTTGTATACATGTTCCAAACATCATGGGTCCAAACCATGGTGGTCCACACCATGGGTGTGGGAGGGGTGTAGATCAGCAGGGGACCCACTGCTCCGACTTCAGGAGACGTTGTTCTGACTTCAGGCCGCACACACGGTATGGCAGCCCAGGTGAGCGGTTCAGAGGGTTGAGCCGAGGTGAGACATCAAGCAAGTGGAGCGGTGAGAAAGGGCTTAGCGGCTTTGGTTAGTTGTTAAGGGTAATGATCATTGACAGATATGATATAATATATCTTGGGCTTTGGGCTTTGGGTCAATGAAAACTAGAGCACACACACACACACACATCGTCAGTTGGCAATCAATGCCACGGACGTGTTCCGCGGTTGTGACTTTTCTTCCAGCCGTGCTGCCACTGCGATATTGACTCCTGTGCCAGGTCATTGTTTGGGGTGCCGGCTTGTTTCAATATTCCAACCTTGCACCGCACCTATCAATGCGGGCGAAATAGGTGTAAGGATTCTTCAGGATTCGCGACAACGATAGAAATCATATGAGGAGTGTGCTTGGATTGTTGCCAATGTTTCCATAATCCCATCACCACGGAAAACCATGTCAATGCGGCTTATCAACCAAAGTACGGCATGCAGTTTGCACACACATTGTGTTGAAAGCGATCATCCGGTGGGCATTTGGTGGTTGGGCGGGGTTTTGCATGAAACTGCAGAAGTTTTGTTTGATTCGATGCCTTGGACAGTCATGGCGGATGTTGACATTAAGGACATCTCTGCAGAGAAGACGCTTTACCTATTTTTTGACATGTTTTGTGGCATTTCATACCTATATAACCGATGTGTTTGGTGCTTGGGGTGAGGTGCCCACGATTGCCACGCATTTGAGGTGACTGGGTTGAGCTTCTCTTTGCCCACCTCCGCCGCTTGCAGCGCAAAAAAACGATGAGAAGCGATGGACAGACGACTGACCAACCCAGGCACGGAGTGTATAGCAGATGGATGACAACGGTGGCAACAGAGATCAGGGATCCAAACAGAGGGCTAGCCTCCCCCCCAACAATCATGGAAGTGGAGTTCACCCCCGTTTGGTCAAGGAATATTGTCTTCCAAGGGCCATGGTCCACTTCCAGCCGTCATGGCAATGCCCTGACGGTTCTGAATGTTCATTGACCCAGCTAAAGAAGCCCACAGGTACGAGAGACTTGCAACCAATGAGTGTTTCCACTACCAGATGGGCACGCCACATGTCACGTATAGTAAGGTTGGTTCCAACAATGTTTGGAGACGGTTCCAGTACTGTAACTAGTAACTAGGCGAAGGGTTCCAGTGCTCCTGAAAAAACTTCGTAGTTATTCAGGGACTAGCTGGTTATCATCTGGAGGATGGTCATTCTTTCCCTATTCTTGCTCAACAAACCCATCCAACTCGGGTTCCATATTGGCTCCATGGGTTGCATGGTCTTACCGTGTTTAAAGGCAGTTCGATTTATACATTCTCTTGAGATGTCTTGAGTCACACGCAAAAATATATGTTATATATATATATAGAGAGAGAAAGAGAGATATGTAATAAGTATGTATGTAGATGTGTTACGGGCGATAGGCGAGAGAGAGCGAGAGAGAGAGGGAGGGGGGAGAGCGAGCGAGCGAATCTAAAATACATTTTGCAGAGTCCACTCTTGTATTGACGACACACAAGAAGCACACATGTGACATGTGGTGTCAAGCTGCCTTTTGTGGAAGACAACACGCCAACACCTCCACGCTGTCAAGTTATGTCAAGCTGCCTTCGTGGAAGCCACCATGTTGAGCCCCCCTCGAGCCCAGGAAAAGGTTGGGCTCCGTTAAGTTCCTTTGTACCACACGGCCTGGGCGGCTACCATGGCGACGCTGGGCTAGTTACATGTGTGGCAGGCAGTGCAAGGTGGAACCTCCAAAAAAGTCTCCAGCTGTGTGGTGTGTGGTTTGAAAAGGGGACCCACGTCTCAGCTGAGTCCATCTAAGCTACATGAAGGAGTGCATCAATGATGCCAATCTTGCATGAGCCCTGCAAATGGAGGACAACCAATGTGCAGTGATTCGCCACTGATCAGTATACACAAATCTTGAACACATATCAAAAGAGACTTCCAAACCTGTCGCATACCGTGGGGGACCGTGCGGGACCGTGGGGGACCGTGGGAGTGAGATCCGGTGAGGTTGGGGGATTGCATGACCGAGTCAATGGTTCTGACTTCGTCCATGAACCACATCTCAACAGCTGACCACGACTCGTGCGTGTTTTTGTTGGTTTTTGGGAGACCAGTCGACAGCCAGGCCCCGGGCGGTTGAAACTCAGACTCATAGCACTGCTGAGGGTTCACAGGTTTGGGGCAGAACTCCCGACATCGTCCAGTGGCACTCTTTCAGGATGGCTTGTATGACGGTGCCAACAGGGCGATCCGGCAGCATCAAAGCGAGACTTTGGCGGCACAAGCGTCGGCGACTGGCAGATGGAGAGGCTGGGAATTGAAGCCACTCAGCTAATTACGCTTCATTATGTAGGTAGGGACAGAAAACACCCATATATGGTTGAGGCAAACGTTTCTCCAAGCCATCCACGTTTTCAGAGCATTGGTCGTCATGTTGGTTTCATTCTTCGGCAAGAGCCTCGACGCACGAAGTGTTGGCCCAGCACGCGAAGGTCATGGGACCATTTGTAGAAGCCGTATGAGGTCATAGGATCCTAATGGATCCCATAATTACCTTTTTTGCAATACCATAATGTACTATATATAGAAGATGCATGGAGCCAAACCATGTGATTGTACAAATCATTGTGCACCAATAGGAATCTGTCGTGCCATTGTGTAGCCAAGCCACGCACATGTCGGAGCACACGACGCTCCAGGCCAACATCTTTTTGATAGTGGCCACCTAAGCAAGGTTGAAGGTGTGTCAGAGTAAACAAACTACCAAAACCGATGGAAACCAACAGGAGACTGATGTCGAGATCTTAGGAAAGCGATCGCCATGAAAAGCAATGGAATTGAGAAGCGCTGCTCCATTTGTGTAAGTTACTATGTATATTGTGTGCGCCCAATGCGCCCTACACACTGACGCCCAATGCGCCCATATGTGTCTACCTATAACATAACCATCAACATCCATCAACAGCGTAGAGACGCCCACAGATCTTCCGAATCAAGCGCGCCTGGTCTTCCCCAGCCTCATTGCCTTATGTTACAGAGATGGTTGGCTCTCCGAGGAGATGCAGCACATCCACCTAGAACCCAACCTGCCGGAGCCTGCCTTGCGCGCGCCTTCCAAGAGCTTCCACCTGCAGAAGGAGGCTTGGCAGGCGTCCCTCGGCGAGTGATTTGACGGCGCGTTTGGTCTTCAGCACTGTCTTCAGCACCTGGCGAGATGGGTAGAACAAGATGGACCCATCAACAGCCGTTGCTGGTGATTGGTGTCCAACAAGGACGCTGCAACTTGAGAACATCTTCTCAACCGTTTCCTGTTTGGATTTGATCTATGTGGAATGTGGGTCGGGTGAAGTACACAATAATTGGTTATAACTGGTCTGTTTGATAGGATTGATAATGGTCATACTTCTCCGGGAGCCTGCACTATTGCAAAGCAGTGGCTCCTTTAGATGTCGTCAAGGTTGCTGAGAGTTTCAGACAAGAGACAGAGACAGAGACACAGAGAGGGAGGGGGAGGGAGAGAGAGTGAGAGAGCTGCACCCGAGTTACGTCCTCAGGTACGTGTGGCTGCCCGAGCTTGCCTCTCCTGGCCCTTTGCCTTTGCTTGTGGCCTTTCATGGCTCGAGGTGAGTCGAGATGGACAGGACCCGATGGCCTGGACAGGTGACAGGTCAAGGTGATGGATTGTGGGACCTGAGCCCTGAGCCACTTCATATATATATATATAGAGTTATATATATAGAGTTACAGTACTGTATATAGTTATATATAACTAATATATTATATATATAGAGTTACAGTACTGTATATAGGTGTAGGATGGTGTAGGTGAATCTCTTCTAGAAGATGACGTGTTCTCATCGCTTTGTTCCAGGCCCATGGACTGGGATTTCCTGTCCTTCGCAGCCCCATGGCACATCGCGGGTGGCACATCGCTGAGATGTTGGGAGGGGACTCGGGACGGTGCGGGGCCTCCAAAAGGTCAAACTGGCAGGTGTGGGTAGGAAGGCTTGGCGCTTTTGTTAATTAGATTTTCTATGTGATATTTGTACTATGATATTCTATGAGGTTTCTATGCATTCCTCGTCAATCAGGTCAAGGGGCATGGTTTGTGCCGGTTGGTTGGTGGAGCTGTTGAAGGACAATCATCCAGACCACGGCGCATGGTTGAGGCAACAATGCATATGTGATTGCCATCAACGCTGGCTAACCCTTGGTGTTCTCCTTGTTTGACGCCTGCATGAGCACTTTCACAAGCTGTCCTGTAGTCCTGTAAGTTGTCCCGTGATCCATGTTTTGTGGATGGCACATTGAACGATCAGTTGTGGGCTCAGACAACCTCGGAGTGACTCGGAGCGGCCTGCTGCCACCGTGCTCAGGAACGGTGGCAGAAGGATGCATCAGCATATCAGATTGCCGTCCTTGTGCCTGGTCGACCAACCATCATTCAGCTTGATGATGCATGCACATGCATGCGCTTCGCGTGCGCTCGAGCAAAGCAAATTCCATCGAACCACTCAAGCAAATCCAAATTCAAGCATCTATCAATTGGATTTCACCTTCTACAACGCAGATCCTTCATCCTATATATATGTATTTACCAGGCTACCGCCGCCTGCAGCCGCCGACCCCCAAGGGATAGAACCTTAGCGCTAGCCTTGCTCTATGTTAGCCTTAGCCTTAAGCCTTAGCCTTAGCCTTAAGAGTGCAGACCCAACCCAGCACCACCAAAGCAGGTACCCAAAAAGTCGACTTTTTGGGTACCTCCCAGATTTACCATCGGACGTCAGCTCTTGCATGAACCCCGATCATTGCCCAAGAATTTAGACCCAACCCTTCACCACCAAAGCAGGTACCCAAAAAGTCGACTTTTTGGGTACCTCCCAGGTTTACCAATTTAGACCCAACCCAGCACCACCAAAGCAGGTACCCAAAAAGACAAAGCCTAGAGCATTCCTAGGAAAATGCCAGAAAAGCCTTTGAAAATCTCATAAACCAACAGAAAACGTGACAAAATCTACGAAAAAGCAAGGGCATTGGCCGGGACCATGCCGCGACCAGCCCGGGATTCGAGCCCAGGACCATTTTGGACCGTGCTTATTTTCCCGCGCGGGTCGAGAGGGTGCCCCAAGATGTAAATCAATTGGGATGGCAGATTCTTGGACAATCCAGGTCGCTTTCCCGGCAGGATTTCGTCACTCCAACAAGGGTCCGGAGGGGTAGGGGAGGTAAGGTCTAGGTCTAGGTCTAAGGCTAAGGACTAGGTCTAAGGTCTAAGGCTAAGGCTAAGGCTAAGGCTTAAGGCTAAGGCTAACATCGACAGTCACGCCTCACCCCACGGTGTGGGGTCGGCGGATTATATATCTAAGTAGTCCTTTGAGCCGGTGTTTTCGTGGCGTGCTTGTGCCGCACCGAGCTTGTGCTCGTCCCCCTTTCCGGCCCCGCCCCCGTACCTCCCTGCTGCGGGTCGACCGAGCGCCGAGGTGCCGGAATCGGTGGGTCCCACCTGGGATTACCTGCTCACCTGCCAACGCCGGGAGCGCCCGGAGGGCACGGAGGGTATGTCGTCGGGGCGTGAAGCAGCGGAGCTTGGCGGTGGTTGTGTGTGTTTGCGTCCATGGGTGGCCTCAGAGCTTGCGACGGGCAATTCTGATAGAAGACCAGAAGTCTAAAACCCTTGGGCACCGCTCCCTGAGCAGGTTGAGGATCCTGTAGAGCTATAAAGCTGTTGATGTTCAGGTCTCTTAGAAACCTGCCCTCGTAGTTGGACCAGGACCATTGGATGTAGTTGGGGTGAATGCACGAAGAGAAGGTCGGAGTCCAGATGCTCATAGTCCAAATTGTCGTTCAATTTCCTGTTGATATAATATATACTGTATAAACCAAACTGGTTTGCATTCATCCAGAGATGCGGTAGAAACATGCGTAGAAACAGGTTCAACTGAAGCATATGTTTAGTTTAGGGTTTGTCCTATTGCCTGTAACAGTCAGTCAACAATGATGTATAATTAATGTATCACAATTCTTTTAAGAAGGCCTTTACTAACCATGACCACCCACTGTGACTGGTGATAGGATGGACCCAACATATATTAAAGTTGTTTGGAAGAACAAGTCTCGGTCATAGACCTGAAGAGGTGTAAGCAGGTGGCAGCACGATCCGGTGGGGGTCCTATATATTACTTTTGGCCGCATCCTCTCTGAAGTCTCTGATGAGGGGATCACTTGGGTGCGCCATGAACTGCCGAAATTCACGGGGAACATGAACTCCCTTGCAGGAGGAGAGTGCACCATTGCCAAGGTGTCTTTCTGAATCTGGTCTTTTGAGTTCAAGTATGGTGGTCTCAAATAGATGGAAACGGTTTCCAATTCATTTTTAGTAGGGATCTACATTTCTATCTATTTGGGGGTCTATATTTGGGTACAGATGCTTGATGATGCTTGAGACATTGTGACATAATCAAGTTTGCATAGCAACATTTTTGATGGTACATCTCCTGCGGTTGACATCAGGTTGGGTGTGAAACAGCGCGGCGGAAACGTGGGGTGCCAGCATGAATCGAGCCACGTGCAGGACATGGATTTTATTGAGTATGCCATCAATCAAACCAGCACCTTGGAATGCAGATGGAACGAGAACGAGAGCACAGCCTGAGCACCGCCGACAGTCGGGTCTTGGAGCAAGCGAAAGACCACAATCGAGGTGGTTCATGGTTTTGTCCACCCCACTCACCACAATCTCGCCGAGATGTTTCGGTCAGCTCCCCACTCTGTGAATATACTTGTTCAGGACTAAGTGAGTGGGCATGTCCATTTTTGGGGGGCATCCAGGCGTCCCGAGTTCGTTTCCGGAGTGGAATTTCCCGGCCCAGTTCCAAGAGTTAGGAACCGTGCCACCTCCACTCACTGCCACTCATTCTCACTGCTTCGAAACAAGCCAACACTGCTTTCTCAAAAGTTAAAACGCTTTACTGTAACCACATGATTCAGATGATACTTTGAACCAGCTTTTGACACTTTCAGAAAGGACATAGTGTTTTTCAGATCTGGACCTCTTCAGTCAACTCACCGAGGATGCCAAGTGTCCATCGATGACCAGCAGATCGCCATCATGGGCATGTCGGACGGCGCTTCCCTGGCCATGTCGATGGCCGCCGGGGCGACGCTGTCGGACGGGTCCGGCGAAAGAGGAGTGGGCAAAAGATGGAACATATATATATATATATATATATGTAGCCTACTATGTAGCCTAGTAGCGATGCCCTTTGTTCCTAGTAAGCCTAGTAGCGATGCCCTTTGTTCTTAGTAATTAGCTTCTTGTTCCTAGTAGGTAGCTTCTTGCTCCGTTCGTAGCGATGCCCTTTGTTGCCCAAAATGCGGACTTGCATGGATTTGTCCATGACTTGTTCCTCGTTGGGATTGGACATGATCCGAATACTGTATCCTTAACTTGGAGGTGCACATAGAGAGAGAGAGAGAGATCCTCCCAGAAGCTGAAGGGGGGGGAGGAGACCATCGGCGAAAGAAAGAGGCATCCTAAGACGATGTACCCTGATAATATGAGTATTGTTTCTATTTACTTATTGTTTCTACTAGCTTCTTGTTACTACTAGTAAGGCCCTTGTTACTAGTAGCGATGCACTTGTTCCTAGTAGCGATGCACTTGTAATATGAGTTCTCGAGCTCCAAATTCCTCCCAAACGCCGGGACTTTCATTCATGCGAGTGAAGGGGGGCCCCCTCCGGTCCGCCAGGCGCTTCGAAACCCGGGCATCTTTCGGACGGCGTGCCTTGGCGTCGGCGTGCGGGTCCGACAGTCCTCAGGCTGTGAGAAGTTCAGGCTAGGGCCAAGGTAGGAACATGGGTGAGGGTTTTGGTCTGCTTCTTTCAGGGGGGTCGTTGGGAGGTCGACATAGGTTTAGTAATTAATCGTTTAGGTTGTTAATTCACAACCATATTCTATGTTGACATGGTATTGGACTCACGTCACCCACAGAACACTGACCCTGACCCTATCATGCCCAAGATAGGTTAATTTGTGGAGACCTCTATGCATAGTCAATAATAGCATTGGAAGGTGGACGTCAGATACCTTCCAACGCTTCAGCCATCTTGGCATCCAGTTCCCAGTTCCCAGTTCGCCAGCCGAAGTGGGCCGCCCGAGCCGCCAGCCGTTCAGAACTCTAAGGCTCGTCCAAGCGACGGGCTTCTTCCATGACACCGCACCGGACACCTTGAAGCCTCGGGTGTCCTGGATGGGCATGGGGGGGGCATGGGATGGATTACTCCTGCCATCCTGGAAGGGCAGTTTTGGGTATGACCTGGTCATTGCCGTTCTATCATGTTATTCATTAGTTTAAAGGTTGGAACTTCATCATGCGAGACCGTTTTCCCAGAAGACCAATATGACGCTTATAGGAGCCAGAAAACCATGGCCACGAGGTCTACATGGAGTACGGCACAGAGGACAAGCTCTTTGGCCCCGACACAGTGGCACGGCCTACCAGAGACCGCTTGCGGGACTTGGGGCGGCTTGGAGATCGCAATCGGTTTTTTGTTAGTGCTTTCAAGTGGTGTGAAAGCCTTTGTTGATATATATATAATTATAGGTGATTTGAGCCATGCGATTTAAAAAAGCGAAGTCGCCCAAATCGAATCGCAGGTGCCCCGTGGAGTTTGCCATGATTGATGGCGCAGGACTGCTGAACTGCGAATGGACTGTCCTGTTCTAGAAGCTCCGGCCTGGTGTTGCCTAGCAGGACACATGGTTCAGGAGGAGTTCTTTGGTGCTGCCCTGGACTTTTGGCTTGGGGGTCCAGTCGCCAACACTGAGAAGTTCAAGAAGTGACCCGCCAGCAGGTCGTCAGCAGGTAGTCATCCCAGTGAGTCAGCATGAATGGGGCTCATCCGGAAACAACAACACCTGGAGCCAGAAGGTCTAGGCCCCCCAAAAAAGAAAACTCTGAAGGGTTTTGCCTTTCAAATGTGTACCCCTCCGGCATGTCTTCAACCAGTGCGAGAAGATGGATTGACTGGAAGGACAAGGATGTGCGAACCACTCACATGCTGATTTGATTTGGTGACAGTGACATGTTTTGCCCCACCATTTGACATGGAGAATTGTGCCATGCCAGGATGGTTTGGGCAATAACAGCCAACCAAGCTGGCATTTGGCAGGGTTTTTGGTTGCTTCTCCTAACCCATCACTTTGAGAAATGAATCAGACTTGAACATACAGATCCGCCTCTTCAGAAGGGGTCTGTAGATTCTTCTGCCATCAAGCCAGTCCTCACAGCCGAGTGCAGCCAAAGGTCATCAAAAGGACGCTGCTGAAATGAATGGAACCGCAGCAGGGACAGTCACAAGCAATTGGATAAATGGAAGACAGCCAGCCATTCTCCGCGATCAACGATTAGCCACTTGCTGATTGTGGATGGGATGTTGCTTTGTATTTCTTTTGGCCGCCTCATGTTCGGTGGCTGAGTCCATGTTCTTGTTGTTGTTGTTGTGGTGGTGGTGGTGGTAAATGTTCCAATGGACCTGTTGGGCTGGCCAACAAAAGCTCCCAGACCTGGCTTTGGCCTTGGCGGTTGGCAGTTTGTCATCCAGTCTGGTATATCACTCACAGAAGGCCACCGCCAGAAGACAAGGCGGCACTCCTTGTTCCGAAAAGTGTGTTTGCATGTGTTTACCCTCTCTTTGGGACTATGGCTGCCAACTGAGCTGAACATAAAACATATAAAAGACAAGTTTTGCTCTAGGGGCGGGCTGTTCCAGTTCCATGATTGATGGGAGGGCACCTCTATGAAATGGCTGGAGCCCGCAGAATTGATAGCATGTAAACCTACCACCCACGCGGCGCAGGCGGGGGCAGGCAGTTCTGCTTCAAGGCGGCCTGGGAACCGCTGGGAACGGCGAGCCGGTGGCCAAAGACTGCGATCAGAACCTCTGAGAGGGTGGCGTGAACTGGGGGGTGAACTGGTATAAGCCCCAACATAGCTCAAGAGTCTTTGGGAGGCCCGAATGTCCTGAACCGGCGCCACGGCCGGTCAGGCTCGACCGGTGGTGGTATGTGGAGAAGGCGGCCCCGGGAGCTCGGACCGGGGGGGGAATCGTCCGGGAGTTCGATTCGGGGTGGTCAGGTGAAATTAGGAGAACTTGGGGTTCATTCTGCTTGGAATGAGCCCACAGGTTCAGGGCCCCCATGTAGTTTTAGAATGGCCATGCGGCCATGAATCGCCCAGATGATGCGCTTTGAAGCACATCACTACATTATAATACGGGGAAAGGGGCCAGTGTCAGAGCGCGACAGGCCCGCCAGTGGGTACATCCAAACGGGAGGGCTTTAAACTTTAGTATGTTCTACATTGAATGACTCCACATTGTGGACTTTAGTTGATATAATATAGACATGTTCATATACTCATGTCAATGTGGATATAATCACGAGTCAGAGTCCACATTGACATGAGTCTCTTCGCCCTAAGTCATGTCAGATCCAGTTACTTGTCTCGGTGCTTTGCCCCCAGCTGACCAAACCTCAAACCAACGCGATCCAAAGCCTTTGGGGCAGAGAACCCTGTGGCACCAATCCTGGTCACCCAGCAACCCCGTCCAGACATGAAGCTACGAACGTAGCGAGTGCATCGCTACGAACGGAACAAGCGCATCGCTTCTAGTATAGCATAGTATCGCAAGATAGCAAGAAGCTACTACAGTAGTGCTACTAGTATATATATATAGCTATTGCTATAGCTAGTAGTAATGCACTTGTTACTAGCAATGCACGTCAGTCCGCACGTCTCATCCGCGTGAAACAGCTCAGGCCTTGCTCCCAGCCATCCGTCGGATTTTGCACTCCGACCTCGTGGGCCTTCCGTCCGGGCCCCGGTGGACCGGCAGCGGGTCGTGGACCGGCTCGGACGGGCCTCACGAGGGCTGGGCGAAGGGAGGTCGCCAAGGTGAGGGGAATGGGCCAGGAGTTCCCAGAGCCTTTTGGGTGAGATTTGGGTCCGCTCCAGTGGCCAGCCACTTGGAGGTGGCGGGAGCACTCGCCCAGGCCCAACCTGGATGTGACAGCTTGGCTCCGGCAAGTGCCCAGGCGCCGAAGCATTGTCCGGGAAGATAACGTTTCAAATTTTCAATGCATGGGAGCCGACACATGACAACCATTAAGACCAAGCCTAGGCCCTGACCTTGAATAGACCTTGAACTGCAGTACTGAATCTCGCGTAGAATACCCTTGTTCACGTTTCACTGTCGCGTAACAGCGACAGCAACAGCAGCAGCAGCAGCTCCAGCATCAGCACAACTGGGCAGCCTTGAGGCCCAGGTTGGTGCTTTTGGCAAAGGACGGTGGATGTGGACAAGACCCCTTTGCGGTGGCATGATCCCTAATTATGAGCATTATGATGTTGAGGCCCCGCAGTCGTCCCCTCGCGCACCCAGATGACTCAGCTAGTGGACGACCACGAAAAGGAGAAGATCACGCGCCAAACGATCATGCTTGTGATGGATAGGGGTTCTTTGACGACGCTTCCTACAACGCTCCCTGTGGCTCCCAAGTCGGGCGTTGGCTCCATGGACTCTCGTCCTCCGCGATCCCTCTCTGCAGAGGTCCCACGGACGCCTGGGGCTCCGAAATGGGGAGACCACTTCAGTCAGTAAGGAGCATGTTGGGTTTGCAAGTCCGGATGCCTAACCTTCGGACTCAGATAGGCCTGTGGACCTTCCGCAGCAAAGAGCGGTCGGTGTGGGGCCAAAACCGCATCACACGGCTTGACGTAGACGCCTGCTGCAAAAGATGATCCAAGGTCAAAACTAAGCTGGATGCGATGATGTAATTTCGTTCAATTATCAGATCCGCATTCATCAGCTTCACGGTTGCTGGCCAGCGCTGGCAGATCGAGGGCGGGGGCAACTTGCAGACGCACCAAAGCCAGCAACGACGTAGAACATCAACCGTTGGGAGGAACACATGGTTAAGGGTTTTCCCGTGCATGTTTGCAAGTCTCAGAACAACAGGCTCCAAACCTTGAGACAAAATAATTACTGTAATCAAAAAGCTTTGCAGGAACTGGTCGTGGCTGATATTGCTTGACACCTCCCACAGAACCCTGCTGTAGAGGAAGTGGGGATTCGGATTACCTGTTGTTGCGATGATATCCTTTGACCACCCTTCCCTGAGGAAGGGCGATCTTTCAGGCGCATGAAGTCAGCACCCCTGGTCTGAAACTCTGTTTGCTTTCCACTGAACTACACTCCAACTATTGAGTGAGCCGTGCGATAGTTGGGAGAAATACGACAACGTAAGATCTGCATTTCTACATATCACCCACCAGCCCACCAGGCTTTACAACTGCATGGCAATTGGTTTACATGTATATAGTACTTATCATGTTTTACTTGAATCCCTGTGCCCCATAGGCCCAAAGCGCTCCCTAGGTTGACCGACCGCTACAAAGCGACCGGGCCAGGCCCAGTGCCTCCTCGCGAGGTGCACCTGGACCCTTGGGTCGGCTGCTCCGGCCCAGCTGCCGGAAGTGCGGGGAGAAGGTGCTTTGCGGTGAGCTTTGCCGAGCATGTGCCAGCACGAGGGCCCAAGCTCGGCTGAGACCAAACTGAAAACATGGAAGGTTCAAGTGGTGGCCATAGCACTGTGTCACCAGCCAGATTGGCCAGGGACCAGTGCCTCGGCTGCTGTTGATCCAGGTTGTTTTCTTGGGGGGCCATGGATTGAAGTGTTCTTGTGCGCTGCTGGGTTCCTGGGATCAAGCTTCTACACGGTTTTTCACTTTGACATTCCATTCTGATGGCTGCAACCCCTCTATCCCAGCAATCATGGAAGTGGAGCGCCTCTTAGGAAACTGTGTTGCCGGACAACTTGTGACGGAGTGTCATTTATGAATGCCTGTGCGCTCGGAGGCGCTCATCATGTCAGGCCTCAGGTTTTCTAGACAAGTCTGCTCAGCCTAGCACGTCGTTCCAGGATCCCTGATCAGCCCGCTGATGTACAAATCTGGGGGGTCCAGTCTCCAGATGTCTCCAGTGGATCAATATTGTGGCCCAATGCTTATGATCTTCTCAGAACATTTGTGGTTCCTACCCTGCACATTGTCCTTAATGAAATCTCTACCATCTGACATGGACAGACTTTTGGACTTCTCCATCCAAAGAACCCAATGTCCGGGTCTTTGATGACCACATAACAACCTTTTAGGCAAAAAGCTGGTTGGTAAGAAAAAAACTGCCAGGGTCAGCAGATCACTGGAGCCTTCGTTTGGTGGGCCTAGGCCCTGCGTTGCGTGCAGAGCTCCAGGAAAGCCTGCAGCAGAGCAGGTGGCGTTGCTGCTGCACATGGTGCTCTGCAGAACCTGTTTAGAAACTCCTCCGGTAGGCTGTGTCACGAAGCACGGCAAAAGCTTGGCAAAGAGGAACATAGATGACAAGTCACCGGGTAGAGACGACAAGTGAGTTGGCCTCATATGGATGAGCTCTTCACTTTCTGTTTGTGACACGCGATGCCAGAAAGATCCTTCCCCAAGATTTGCCTGCAGAGGGAGCAGTTTCAGTAAACAAGTGACACAAGTATATGCTTCCAGCTATATAGGTGCGGATGAATCAGCACAGGGTGATCAAAACGTAGCATATCAAATACGTATAGATACGTCATTGGTCCACATGCTGAAATCATTGGAGACTGCCATTCCATCGCTTGGACGTGCTTTGGCCACTGCCCATTTCCACAGGCTGTGGGACGCATGGCCAGGGTGCACAGCTGATTGTGCCCTGTAAGGCTTATAGAGAGGTGTTTGGCTACTGTTTCCGTTTATATAGCCCCGATGTTCGATGATCCTTCAAACCTTCTTCCATCAGCCAGCGATGTCAGTTGTTATATGCGTGCCGCGGGAAA